AAAAAAAAAAAAAAAAAAAAATCCGAAAAAAAAAACTATGTTATGCCGTAAAATAAACTGAACAACTTTTGCCTCAGGGTCACATCGAAATTCTTCACCAAAACTAAAATAAAAATTAAAAATTAAAAATAATTTTTTTATTTTTATTTTTTTGGCCCGGCCGGGCAAGTGACCCCGGGCCACTCTGGTAGCCTAGTAAAAAAGAAGAATACAAAGAACTGCCAACCCAAAATCCCTCCCCCAAAAAAAAACTTCTTTTTTATTTTTTTTTAAATTTCTCTTCTCCAGTTTTTTTGTTTTTTTATTTTTTATAATTCTAAAAACTTATCTTTTTCCAAAAAAAAAAAAAAATGGGGTTGTAGGGATTCTTAATCCCTACAACACCATATATATATATATATATTTACCCATTATTTAATTCAGGAAAAAATGGTAAATTCAGGTCCGTGGCGCGGACCAGGTTGGCTGCGGACGCGGCCGTATATATGGCCGCCATCCGAGCTGGACCCCGCGGACGCTTCCGCGGGTGTTTCATAGCTCCAATTCGCCCGAGCCCATTTGATAGACATAACCTTTTGGAGGAGTGTTGCCTTCTATCAACTCGATCTCGTGTTGGACCGGACGGACGGGAACTCCGCGTGATTTCGGCTAAAACTTTTGGGAATCGGTTGAGAAAACTGCGGATCTCTAATGGGATCTTTGAAGGTGGCGAATCAGAATCTGGTGCAAGCATATCGAATTGCATATAGGTGCAACCAGAACAACAAGATTTGGAGTAGAACCGTTTGGACTAGAAGTAGATTCAGTAGAGGTAGAAGTAGAGGTAGAAGTGGTTGCATTGGAAGTAGAAACAACATGCCAAGTAGAACCATTATGTACAAAAACAATAGAAGGCACATGAGCAGGCCTAACAAAGGCTATACATGTGCTCATCATTTTTGTGCCTGCGCCACTTCTTGCAAAATTTCATTGTGCTGAGAAAAGTCACTTGGGACTCGTGCGGCTCGTCCGAAAGGACTGGACGCTCGATCCCCATGGGATCCTTGACCATGAATTGTGAGTCCTTCCACGTGGTTCTTTCATATTGGGCCCGCAACCAGCCTAAGCCAATAACCACATCGAAGGGGCACTTATCAAGGACATAGAAGTTCAACTCATGTGTGATTGTGCGGTGTGTATCAAAAGGTAGTGCGCACACCTTTGAGTGCATGCGTAGATGTGACCTCTTGGTTGCCCACTTGGGTCCAACAAGGATTCTGCAAAGTCGCTTGCTTCATTCCCAAGCGTGCCTTATGAATGTATTGTGGTTAAAAGTTGTTGGCGGTTTATTAATGTGAAGCTTGAAGAAGATCAACTTCGTTTTCCCTTGCGCACGTTCTTGCTTCATCTGAGCCCAACGCAACAAGAGAGTATGAAAGTCAATCTCTTCCAACTCCACCCAAGGCTCCTTGTAAAGGATATGCAGTTTCTCAGCCTTGGAATCAACATCAGATGGGGTCTCAAGAGAGGATTGTCGAGTGGGATGAGAGTCCGTAGAAGGATCTGCACTCACTTGTTCAGCCTCTCCTTCTGTAGAGTGTGGTGATAATATTTCTACACCCTTTGCTGGTTTCCCTGCTGCAATCTGAAACATTGTTGGACTGAACGTCTCGATTTGGTGCAATGCAGTCAAACCCCTTTCTTGATCCTGTGTTTCCACTCACTTTCACTAATCCGGAGATCTACCCATGGTTTTGTGGCAGGATCCTCCGGTTTGGGTGGAATGTTTGCTCCTTTGGGGAGGTGAATGATGTTAGTATTGTGCTTCACTAAGTTCCCTGACCCCTTAATCTTGAAGGCAGTCTTTTTAAAGGCATTCATTGATTTTTTTTATTATTATTTTTATATATAAAAAAAACAGAACCTCGTGGTTCTGGCTCCTACCATTCTGGGGAGCAACAGTCTGGTTCCTATTCCCCCGGCAAGTCAATATGGAATAC